AGGTTTAGCTGTTACCACGCCAAGTGAGAAAAACGAGCTGACGCCTCTCTCTGGGTTTCCACTCCATAAGTAGCCCAGCTGATTGCTCTCAGATGAGCAACACCTGTGCAGCAGCACCTGCCAGCCACACCCTGCACAGAGAGAACACAGCACACAAAACACAGCCTGCATGCAGCCTGCACACAGCCTGTACACAAACCACCGTGGATATGACAGCTGCGCATATTCAACTGTGCGACCAAAATGGATGACTCCAACAGTTCCAGTCTGGGCTCAAACCCTAAATGCTTGCATAATCAATAAACTGTTAATTCAGCCTGGAAAGACTCACAAAGAGAAGACAGGGATGCAATTAGAAAAGTTTATTAGTGAATGTTTATTTCTTTGGCGCTCGGACCCCAGTGGAAGACGTGAATGCTGAGAATGACATGCGCTGGAATGAACATCTTAGGGTTAGATTTAGAGATGTCTTCCCCCCTGGGATCCGATCCTGGTGGTGGAGTGGAGGCCTGAGGAGATTTGGAAAGAGTTTGTACGCCAAATGGTTTAGATGGGGTGGAGGAGGGTCAAAGTTCAGCTGCAGAACGGAGAGATCCATGGATGAAGATCTTTTAAAGCGGGGCCTTGAAGGATGATTGGTCGGGGAGAAATGCAGACTTGACGCTGATTGGTGGAGCACAGCCGCATTGAGGAGTAATTAGACAAAGCTGGAGATGATGGTGAGTCTTCCATGTTGAATTTTCGTTTAAACTCCATAACGCTGTCATATCTTTATAGTTATGTCACTTCGAGAGTCAAGTAAATTCAACATTATGACAATGAACACCAATGCTTGCTGAGATTCTGCATTACCAGTGTTTTGCAAAAAGACCTGGATGAATGCAAAGACCTTTGGAACAAACACAGGATCCAGCCAAGCAGACATGCATCATTCCAAATGAGCTCTATCTCTTGCCTCACAGGTAGCCCTAATTGACATTCTTAAATTATGAATTAACCTTTTGCATTAAACAATAATGCAAAGTGGTATGTTATACCGCAAGCTGGAAATCTGTCTGATACAAGAAGGTCAGAAGATTCATATACCGATCGAAGACCACGCCGACACCCGGCGCAGGTGAAAAACCCACAGAGGTTTTATTTCCAAGGACACACCTTGTGAGTCAACAAACGGTTCCTCATATTTTCTCCTTTTGGACAGATGAGAAGTTTACCTTTTTTCTTTTGAGTTGATCACGGACACGGGATCCCCCCCCTCAATTTTCTTCAGACCTGACCCATCCTCAACCAGTGGAGAGAAGAAATAAACGTCAAAGTAATTTCGTTCTCTTTTTTATATGAAATTGGGTAGGTGCATTTAGAGGTCTGAGCTGGATGAGGTGATTTAGAATCATCAGTAGTTAATCCAAGGTATCAACTTGTTGCATGCAATACTGATTGAAGTGTTTTATGGTGAGCTGTTTTGATTTGCTGTGCAAGGTGCGTGCTCATGTTTTTGTCCGGCTGATCCCAAATCAGCCGGGTGTTAGAAGTTGGACTTTTAAAGTTTTTCCATTCAAAGCAGCTGTGGTTTGGGCTATGCCTGACCACTTCTTTGTTCCAGTTTTATTACTGGAGTTTTCCACTGCGTCCCCGCCTCAGAGTTTTATGACTCTTTGTTTGAGATTCGGGGCAATCAGCTGCTAGTGGCTAAGAGCACAGCCCACCATCTACAAGTTGATCGCCACTATCGAGAGATCAGCACATTAGGGTTCTCTTTCCAAGTTAACCCAAATTGCACATTTTGTCCATAAAACTGCTGGTTTGATCTTCATAGACACTCAATGCACATATATTTTCTTTTATTATTATTGTTAGGTAGTCATTTTTATCCCCTTTGTGTAGAATAGTGCTTGTTAGTTAGGTGAAGGTTTTTGGACCAGAATGGTGATATATCAGGGATATATGGCTTCAATAAATCTTCACATATATGCTTAAGAGAAGCGTTTGTGTTTATTAAATGCAAGCGTGATTTATCTGTCAAAATAAGGTCGAAGTTCCCCCACCTTCGGTGAAGCAGTTGATTATTCAGTGACATTTTGTGGTTTCGGTTATGTAAGGATTATGATTATTGATCAATTAATATTTATCAAAAATTATAATTAAAAATCATAATTCAGGAAAATATTTTCTTTACCAAAATCAGTACTTACAAATAGAAATCAGAGATGTCCTCTGGTGTTGTGATTATGGGCTCAAAGCTCTTTAATAATTATAATTAGCCATTCATCATTAACAATTAATAAATTATTAACCAAAACCACAAAATGTCACTGTTTATTCAACCGGTTCACCGAAGCCAGTCTATCTTTGAATCTGTTAAGGACATATAACAGTAAAATTGATTAATTAATAATATATAAATTGATTAATATCATTCAAATATCATTCAAATTATATTATGACATGCAAAACCCAACCAGATAGATTTTTTGTTTAATATATTTGGACAAATTTCAAATGCATATTGTTATACACTAGGTAAAACTGAGGTGTTTATATAGGACTACTTAAACAAAACCATTCTTAGTGCTCAGAAATCAATGACAGCAAAAAATAAAAGATCATTAGGATTTAAGCTTATTTTTAAACTGTCCTACACTATATTCTAAAATTTTACCAGATGGGGACAAAAAAGATGGGTTAGAAACTGAAGATAAAAAATAGGGAAAAAAGTTGGTTAAATTTGTAATCTGATCAGGAAATAATTTGTTGTTACTCATAAGATCAAAAACAACTGGTAATACCAGTTTATAAAACATTACATTTTCAATGATTAATGGCAGACAAGTTATTACTTACCGTTGAATGGCACTGTGGCTTCTCTCAATGATGTACCATCTGAGATATTCCTCTACAAAAGCTTGCTTCCAACTAGTCTTCACACTTCAGAGGCATCCGGCGGTTTGGAATATGGTGCTGTATTGTAAAATGAGATTTTGCAAAGAATCCGCTGATTCTGCTTTCAGGACCTATCAAAAAGTTGTTTACTGTAAGTAAAACTAAAAGAAATGTCCATTTGACTACTTCTGTAATGACTACTAATACAGCATAAATATTTCTCAATATGTGAGCTTATAGTTGAGAGTTTGAAATCTGCCTTTTAAAAAAGATACAGCACTCAAGCATCATCCTGATCTGAATCTATAATTACCTACAGGGCCCAGTTTCAGAAAGGGGGATGAGTGAGAACTCAGAATACTAAGTGCTGGGGTAAATATCTGCATATCCTGGGTTTTCAATTTCAGAAAGCCAGATGGACGTTACCCTGAGTCAAGTTACTACTGCAAGTTACTCTGTGGATTTCCAGCCATTATTAGAAGCATAGATGGCAATCACATTCACTGCTCCTTCACTGAATAAAGGGTATTATGTTTTATTTTTCTTATGGTTTTTTTAGATTTTTCTTATTGATTAAATGTGTTTCCATGTTTTCTTGTAAATATACCTTGTACAGCCATTTTTACAGGGAGCGTTACAGAAAAATATCTCAATTTCAGCTGCATGTCTGCTCTTTTTCATATGAAGTCTTGAACCAAGTTTTAACTTCTTATATATTATTAACTGCATGAGTTGAATATAGCCAACGAATGCTGTGTAATTCAGTTGGTAAAGGTTAAACATATCTTATAAATGGACCTTACCTGATTTAATTGTATTTTTATATTTTATCTTTATTCACTGTGATGTTCTTTTTGCACCTGCTGGGTTACACTTGGACACATATTTCATGCACACACGCATACATTATCGTTTATGTTAAATAAGTGTAGTGTTGAGGATACAATTTTGATTCTCTATCAAATCCCACATACGCACTGGCTTGGTCTCTGCCACGCTAAATCTTGTTATTTTGCAGAATGAACAGTGCCACTTTGTGTTACATTTTTTGTTATAATCTTCACATGCCATCAACAATATTTTAGATTCCACTGACGAATTTAAATGCGCACTTCAAGGCTTTTTATTTCCTCCCGTAGCCATGGTGGATTGTGTTTTCTGCATTCCATTGATGATAGCTTCTTATATTTTCATGCTCACCATGAACTCTGGGCTGACTTGACACAGAGTTGATACAGAGTTGAGTTACCTTGTTTACATCACATGTTCTGATAATGAAAATCCTGAACAGACCCGAAAAATGCTTACTCAGGCTAACTGCTCTCTAAAAAGACTACATTAAGCCCAGTTCCTGAAACAGGGCCCAGGTGTCCTATAGTAAATCCCTTCCCTGTGCCTAGGTCATTTCCTAGGTCTTATCTTACCTGAAACTTGGATACCCTACCATGCGGTTGCCCAGGTTATTTGAAAGGAAATGTGGCGGTGGTCCCATGTGTACAATGGATACAGCAATCATCTTTCCTGCTAAAAAATACTCATCATCCCTGGCAGCTGTTATACATAGCACTAAATTATTGGGGTAATTGCTACTTAGATCTGATTATGGAAAAATATAAGCAAATGTTTATTAAAATTTAGATTTTAAGAGTACAACCACAACTCTGAAAGTAAGAAGAAACCTACTCTTGATTTACATAAAAGACAACGTCTTTCTGGAGGTCCATCAAAGATTGGGCGATTTCTCGGGTTGCCTTATGAGAAGTGTGAGGAATTCATGCCTCGGGCCAGTGGTTTCCAACCCTTCTTCAAAGTGCCCAGCATCATCATTAAACTTGATGTACATGTCGTTGTCAGAGTACTTGCTGCATCAAAATCCTGGAACGGCTCCTTCCCATACATCTGACTGTGATATATTGAACCTCCTGACTTTCTTGTGGTCAATTGACCATGCCAAATCAGCAATAATTTCATGTGCCTGCACACTTGTGTCTCTAGAAAAGGAAAAAGAAACTTATTTTAGACTTAGTGTATATTTAGTGATTGCTCACACTTTTAATAATTTAATTATGTGCAGGAGCAGCTGGTTAAATGAATAAAAAGGCCTCAATTACTTATTATTACGGCTCTGGTGGTGTAGGGGTTAAGCACAAGACCATGTGCAGAGGTTATAGTCCTCAATGCGGCTGTCCTGGGTTCGAGTCCCAGACTTGCCGAATGTCTCCCTTTCTCTTTGCTTTCTTTCCTGTCTACATAATGTCAAAAAAATGAAAAATAAAGTCCTCTAGTGTCGCAAAAAAAAAGGCCTAAATTACTAACACAGGTTCTTCTGGGGGCAGATCTTTCATTTTCTTATGTGTAAGATCTTCATCATCCTCTCTGTGGTCAATCACAATGGGATCAAACAGGTTGGTGTAGTTTCTGCAGAGTGATAACAGTGTACAGTTTAGATGCAAACTAACAAATGCATCAATATGCAGCTCCACCTTTTAGAACAAAACATTTAATTTATGTCGAGAGTCAAAGGTAAAAGAGTCAAAGCAAATACATTTATAACAAACGGTGTTTATCTAGATACCTGTAACAGGAGCTCTTGATATTAATACATTCACTGGTGCCTGGGTGGTTTCTGTTTTCATCCAAATCTATAACCTTAAAATCCAGAAATGACAATGACTGAAAAAAAATTTGACTAATTGGGATTTATATTAACATCCCTATAGATTACTTAAGGCAGTGGTTGCAAAGTCAAATCCTTTAGGGCTGGTGTCCTGCAATTTATAGATGTGTCCCTGGCCCTGCACACCTGAATCAAATGGTTTATCTACCTCACTAGTGTGCAGAGCTTTGCTAATGAGTAAATATTTGAGTAGGGTGTGTTGAAGCAAAAACCTAGCTAAAGGTTGTAGGACATCGGCCCTCGATGCCTCAAGGACTGGAGTTTCAGATCACTGACTTAAGGGGTTGAGATGAAAGTCTGAAACAGGCTTTCACATTCAGCATTTTTCACAGTTCACATAAAAAAAACATATCATTGCTGAGGGGAGAGAATTATCGGTCAAGCGTACTACTTCATTTATATTTACATCTTTACAACATCTACATAAAAAGAGTTTATAGCTTTCTGTCTGTGTATACAGGTCCTTCTCAAAATATTAGCATATTGTGATAAAGTTCATTATTTTCCATAATGTCATGATGAAAATTTAACATTCATATATTTTAGATTCATTGCACACTAACTGAAATATTTC